ATATAGTTGTATCTGCAACTGTATTTGATAATGTTTTGAACTTTTAAAATATTGCATGGTAAAAACAGAATCTGCTCTTCATATTAGTGAAAAACGTTGGTGTTTTTTGACGAGTTACTTTCATTTTTGCTTTCTGCTTTTCATTTAAAATATGTTTCCATTCTCGGAAGGTTTCTAAGGTTCTTCTACATATTAAAAAAGTTGTTAAACATCTGAGTGGCGCACTACTTCTACTAGTGGTGAGAARGTGTATTGCACCTTATTCAAAATCAATGTGGTTCCATGGCCKTCTGCGGCCCAAAGTTAAAAAAAACTGTTGTTATTTTGAGGCCCAGGCCCATAGGTTAAGAATCTCTGATATAAATCATGTAAACATATATTAAAAAAAGGAAAACCCCAAAAAGTCAGATGCTAAAATAATAGAACTGATCATAACTGTAAGCCACCAATTCCACACACCGACACACAGTCCTTCTTTCTCACCATCATCATCTTCGGCTGGCCCATCATAGGATTTATCTATAGCTGCTCGGAAGCTTTCATTGCAGCCCCTTCCTCTGACCATATTTGGGCGTGGACGATGGAATGGGAGGAGCTCAGATTTCTTGTTAACCTCTGACATCGCCGTTTGGAGACTCTCCAGTGAGCTGGACTTCTTCAAACCAAGGGATGGGCCAAGTTCCACAGGAGTTGATGGAGCTGGGGGAAAACAAGAAAACAACTGTTAGTTTTCCATGAAACAAAACAAAAAAATAACTAAATCAAAAAAAGACACTATCTGAATGACATGTAGACAGAAAGAGATTTGCTTTGCTCTGATTGGGTTAAAAAACCTGCAGTGACTCTGATTCAGAACCAGAAAGAACATGGCTTGAACTCTGGAGAGTAAGAGAAATACGAAAACAAGTGCGATGAGCTAAACTCTACAATTGTTAAGGTTGTGATGGATGTGAWGTCTGTTCCTCTGTTGTTCGCTTCCATCTGTCACCGCAAGTATACCACACTGTGAGAAATATTACTAAGGGAGAGAGGGATGTATGAGGAGGGATGATGTAGAGGTTTGAGATRGTTGAGAAGACAGAGTGGAAGTATTCAAGAGGGAGTAAAACAGAGATCAGGCATGTTGTGTTTTAAAACTTCTCATTCCCAGTACACAGAACATAGTTTGCAAGTGGCAACAYGAGTGAACCTGGCAAGTTCTTTAACAAACAGACCACAGAAAAACTGTTGCTGCCCTGCTGCACAAAGCCAACATAAGCTAACAACATGCTGACTGCTGAAGCTGGATCAAGCTCAGTCATAAGCTCCCCTATGATTTTCCACCACTTGTGTGGATAAAAAAGAGAGAGAGAAAGAGAGAGAGAGGGTAATGTGATTGTCACTGAGAGCCATCTAAAACAAAGAAGACGYTGATGGTGGGTAAGATGGGAGAAACCGGACAGGAACGATGGCAACAGGGTGAGAGCAAATTAAATTTCCTGCAGGGAATATCACCAGGGAAAACCCCGGTGGCAGAGAGGAGGACAGAGAAAAATTGCCTAAAGAAGACGAAGGCTGGGCTTGTTGCCAGCTCAAAATACTGGTAATCCTTAGACACACACATTTTGGATTCCTTCCTGGCTCTGGCTTGTCGATATGATGCCACTTTGATTCATGATAGCCAAACTTGCATCACTTTAGCTAATGATTCCCTATACACACCGATGCTCTTTGTGTGAGTGTGTTCTCAAAGGGAAGGAGATGGCTGTGACTTCCACATCTATTTAAACAACCATTAACAAAACCCAGAATTGCACAGCGAGTAATAACACACAGTAAAAGTATGCACATGCATAATGCAAGCGTGYTGCTTGGAGACGAGATGGACAAAGGTCACAGTGTGTGAGACTCTCATCCATAAACACGGGCTACATGTCATTCTGAGGCATGGTGAATTATTAAACATCAAGTGCTTTGTGATCAATCCATATACCTTTCAATATCAATGTTCTAAATATTAAGACATTCTTAAAGAAAACATCTGTGCCTACAAGGTCTTCATAGAACCTCAAGAATAACAGCACAAGAGACACTGCCAAAGTTTCTTGATGTATTTAAGCACCTGATTTCTTTAGATCCTACCACAGCATTTTAATAAGACTAAGGTCACCTTGTTTTCTGTTAGTATGTTTGGAATCACTGCCATGTTGCATGACCAGAATTCATCATTACACCAAACAGACAGATGACCTAACCTTTAAATGCAATACTCTAGAATGCAGAGGAGTTCATGGTCAACTCAAAGATATTAAGGTGCTCTGCTTCTATAGATCCATAATAACCCTAAATAATTACCCATTTATGCCTCACATATGGTGTCGTGTGTTGTTTGTGTAGGTAATCTTTGCTTAGTTTTCACCAATTGTCTTACTTTGCCCAATACCCATCCGCCCATTTTCTTCCTCTTATCCAGGGTCGGGTCATGGGGGCAGCAGCCTAAGCAGAGAGACCCAGACTTCCCTCTCTCCAGCCACTTGGACCAGATCCTCTGGGGGAATCCCAAGGTGTTCCCAGGCCAGCCGAGAAACATAGTCCCTCCAGCGTGTCCTGGGTCTTCCTCTGGGTCTCCTCCCAGTGGGACGTGCCCAGAACACCTCACCAGGGAGGCGTCCAGGAGGCATCCTAACCAGATGAGCCACCTCAACTGGCTCCTCTCGACGTGGAGGAGCAGTGGCTCTACTCTGAGTCCCTCCCGAATGACCGAGAACCCAGACAACCTGCTGAGGAATCTTATTTTGGCCACTTGTATCCACGATACTGTTCTTTCGGTCACTACCCAAAGCTCGTGACCATAGATGAGGGTAGGAACGTAGACTGACCGGTAAACCGAGAGCTATAGCCAAACTTTTTAAAATTGTCTTGGTCTGTCATTGTTCCATAAGTGCGGTGGTTTCTTTAGTCCGAATTTGTGCTGATATATTCTTTATACTAAAATCCCTTTCCCACTCATTCCTTCCAAACAAGTCAAATATTTTCATTTTTATTATCATTTTATTTCAGCGTTATTTTATTCATATTTAAAAAAAAATGCAAAATGAAAATTGTGAATTCTGAGATGCAGCATTTTTGGTGTTTTTTTGCAATCCCTCTGAACATTACACAGCTCGACAGCAAGCTGAACCTGATGGGGCCTACATTGTTGGAAAGATTGGCAGCTGTCTTGTATGCTTGCCACTTGTGAATAATCTTCCTCGCTGTTGAATGATGCACTCCAGATTGTTTGGAAATGGCCTTGTAACCTTTCTCARATTGACAGACAGTAAAAACTGCTTCTTTAGAGTCACAGCTGATGATTTTCTTCCTTGGCATTGTGTTAATGCACACCTGAATGCTTCAAAGAAAGAAACTGACAAACCCTCTGTGTTGGCAGATGAGGTGGAAAGGCAGTCACACTTGCTTTATTAGTGATGTAGTAAAAGGATGTAGTACAGGCTGATGCTTGCCACCTAAATGTAAGAGTGGAGACATACCTAGGATCGTAGTCAGACAGGACCTCAAGCTTGATGGAGATTGCACAAATTGGTGTTTAATTTAGAAAATACACGACAAGTGCTCTATCTGTTAACATTCAGTGGAACGCCCGCATGCCCTTTTTGGTTTGTTTTRTTTTGAAATGTCTTTCTGTGTTTCTGTTCAACCTCTGTCCGTGTTCAATGCATCAAAATGACCATCTAGGCCCTCCTCTTTAGATTGGCACCTCATTTGACCAACTGGGTTCAACTGTCGGCTCTCCAGAGCCAATAATATATGAGAAGTGACCAACTTCCGGTTTCCGTCATCCTGGGCTAGATTGACTGTAGAATCAGCCAGTCAGCTCCGAGCTTCGTTCTGATGCCACAACTGTGTAGCCAATCACCGTACCTTTCATTTGATATATATTTTGAGGGGGTGGGAACTTTGTTTAGTGACGGACAAGGTAAATATGGAGTAGGTCGCCATACTTAGGCAGTCGTGCTATGCTGCCGAAGAAAGCCACGCTCACAGGAAAACTTTTTTCCCATCATTTTTTTTGCCATTTAGCTGACTAAACATGCTGATAAGATGGAATATATATATATTTGTTATTAAGTGTTTCGAGTGCTTCAAGACATGGAAGTGTGATTTTTGTGGCCAGGAGAAGTAAAAATGTTTGAATAAAAAGACTTCCGGTCGGCCATTTTGAATCGCTAATTTCATCATATTTGAGAAAAAATATGCATCAAATGTGAGAGGGAAACAAATATTTTTTCGCTGCTGGTGGTTTTATAAGCTGTGTTGAATGTTAATGCTTTGAAAGAAATAAGGATAAATTTGTTTATTCTTGTGTTTTTGGCTGTTCAGTGGTGGAAATTTGCCTGAATGTACTCAGATGGTCTAAAATATTTCAGAACATTAATATACATATATTTTTTAATCTCATCATGCTGTGAGTAAATATGGATGGTATAATGTATTTTGTGGGGGTTTTATCTTTAATTTGAGCCCAGAGTGAAGTCCCTGTGTTGAAGCATTTAGAAATTGCAGTGTTTTGGACAAAATGTAAAGTCTGGACATATTGTACAGGTGTACAAATATGCAAATGAGACATGCTGGATTGTATTATGTCTCAAATATTCATATTTTATGCTACTGTTATCAAATTTGAACTGTAATAGTTGGGAATTAATATTTTAGCCCAGTAAAATTTGTTTATTGATATCTCATTGCCTTCATGTTCTGTGATACTTTATTAATAAAAAATAAACATTTAGAGAGAAAAATATCTTGATTTTTGTGTATTTTACTTCAATATACTAAATACTGGTTACAGTTACAAAGAATAYGAVTGMTGAAGTTAAAAWTTCAGATTATTAGCTTTAAAAAGAGACCAAGCTTGTGAATTTACTCTAAAGGGTTCAAAAGCAGTCCTTCATTTAATTTGCGTGTAATTTTTAAGGCGTTTTATGGTATTTTATGGCCAAAGGTTAACAGGTTTTAAAGTTTGAGGTCAACGATAAGTTCACTAACTTCTTACTCTAAACTTTGTGAAAAGCATTGGTTAAAAAGGACACCCTGATTACTTTTACAAAGAGTTGTATAAGCCTTTTACTGTTTGGTGAGTTAATCAGAGAACACACACACACACACACACACTAAATCAGAGCCATCTTTACAGCTACACACACAGGGTGATGGCCATTCACTAACATAATTAAAGACATACCCACTCACAAATAGTGCTGCTGAGAGAAGCAGGATTTGTGTTATAAATGTAATTACTGCTGTCCAGCTGTAAGATGAAAGTATTAAGCTGTTTTTAGGTGGAGGGAGGGATGTCATGCAAGACAAAAATGCCAAAACAGTTTGAGTAAAATGGAGAAATGGTGCGAGACAGGAGAAATATTAATAATAAAAAACACTTAGAGGATGATAAGTGAAGAATAAAAAATAAGACGGCAATCCTTGGAGTAAAATGAGAACATGAGTTTGGTAAGAGGGCAAATATGAAGTAGGACAGAAAATAAACAACAAGCAATATATGAATTTAATTTTTTTTAAATAAAAGCACAGTGAGAGAGAATGCCAAGACATCCCAAGGCTACTTTGTTGGCAGGAGTCAGTGGACTATTTTTCAAGTCAAAAATACACCAAGGAGCAGCTTAGCAGAGGGCTACAAAGCCAACAGTCTTACCAAACGCCTCAACTTCTGGCACAGYAATTCTCACTTCAGATCCTCTAATAAAGAATGTAGCTATTTTTAATAGGTTTTACAATATATTTGCATTAAAAAAGGAAGAAGTTTCAACATCCCAGCTCATATGTAATCTAACCCAGCTGCGGAATGAACTGAAGGATAGTCGAAAGGCATTCTTTACACAATAAACTACGGAAAAATGACACGTTCCTAACATAATGACAGGGATATTTACATCTAAAATGACATGTGCATAAATATTTTTCAGTGCAGATGTATCTCCGGTGATTGGGGAGATTATTGTAAGCAGTGTCTCATATTCCTTAAATGTAGAGCAGTTTTCATTTTCTAGCAGAAATAAGGCTTTACTAGAAAACAGACCTTTGCATTATTTAAACAATCATAACAAACCATAACAGCACATCAATCTGTTGCCTCACTATTTATTTTCTACATACCCTCACCAGGAATATCATAATGATGGAACTAAAAATAGATTCTGTCGAAGAGATTTAACTGTGTGTAGAAATAAAAAGTTTAATGCAGCACGAAATGATGTAAACCTTAACTTTACCAACACTTTCCAACTGTAAACAAAGGAGTTTTTTTCTTTCTTATGCTCAATGAAATATAGAGAACAGCCTGTCAGTGACGACTGGATAAAGTCTGAGTGAGATGAATGGTTTTACCGGGAAGAAACGACAGTACTGACCATCTCCTGATTACTGCTCACCTTTATTAGCTTACTGGGGGAGATGGAGAAGGGTCAAAGGCCATTCAATATACAGAGGAGTGGCCGAGGCTACACACAAATACAATAAAACATCAGTGTGCTAAACACACAACAAACAAAAAGGCACACGCCACGTAAAGAACACACACTCAGGCAATGTATTCAAGATCGARAACCCGCACACACACAGGCCCATAATGTGCAGGGGTGAAATGAAACACAGGACTGCTTAGTTCAGCTGTTTGAATTCTCCGTCTAACGGCGGTGGCGAGGAGCTAATGCGCCGCCGCATCTGCACACACCCGCGCTGACACACGGCCAAACAAACTGAGCTGCTCTCCCTGCGACAAATTAATCCATCAATCCGCATCAGCCCAACAAGGTGGCTCTCAGGTTAAACCCGAGGCAGAGTCTGCGAGTGGCAAAGAGGACGGGAAACAATGGGGACAACGAAAGGAAGATTGAGAAAATCCCACAGAAAGACGGAATAGACGTGGAGCGAAATGAAGAGACAAATCRCTGAAAAGGGAGAGACAGGAGGAGATGTGGTTTTCTAAAGACGCGATTCTGGCAGAGCCTCGTCGGCGTGTGATGGTTTTCAAAGTCAAAGATCCACCAGGGAACGATTCAGACAATGGACTGCATCAGTGTCCCTCAGCATCACTCGGGCCCCCTGACACATGCACACAGAGACATTCTCAGAGAGATGTTGTCCGTCCTAAGCTTCTCTGCCTGTTTGCCAGCCGCTAAGCCTGAATGACGTTGGCAAGGAGAAGAGTGAGGGAGACAGAGCTGGTGGAGGAAGCAAATAAACAGACAGAGAGCTGCAACAAAAGCAAACAAGCACTGCAACAGTTTAATACCAGTTCAACACATTGCAGCAACTTGGTTTGTGTTTCCACAAGTAGAGACAAAGTTGCCAGTTTTGATCTCTTTTAAACACTTTTGMGCATTTTGAAATAACTATGGCACATCTTACAAACATACACTTGTTTTTTTTTTTCATTTACTGTTACAAAGAATTGTCTGTCAAACACTGATTTTGTGACGCCAACACAAAGGTCAGAGACTTCACATGAGATTTGGACCATCTTGTGGGGGGAAAGCAGATTACTTCCTACTCATGAGCGCCCCCTCTGGTGGGGAAACGTTTTTTCAGGGATATTAACTTTTTCCGAACACCGGTAGACGGGAGCCATTACAGACGAACATGTTTTTTGTTGTTCCAGCAGCGGCTCGGTCACACGCTAATGTCATTAGTTCGTTATCATTACTAAGGTGCAGGACTACTTTTCCCCCTTTTTTTCACATCATGTTGCCTGCCTGGATCTGTTATTATCTCGCTCTGAAGCACTGAGGCGTGTCAGAAATATGTTCGCTTCATCCGCTCTTTACGACGCGGTCTCATTTCCRGACTCAGGCATTTTGTGAATAAAGCCAATATTTCAGTTAAAATACATAAGTAAAAATATTTTTCCRAGTATAGTACTACCCCCCAACTTTATGGATGATTTTATGGATTCAATTTTATGTATTATACTTGAATAAATACGGTGTGTCTATACTCCCAATACAACATTAACTACAGTCTTAGTAGTTTTGCTACACACATCAGTGTAGAATGTAGTAATTATCCTTACTAAATGAATACTTAAATCCARCTCAGCCAAATCACTGTTTCCTTATATGGTGGCATAGCCAAAGAAACAGGCTTTGAATAATTACKTTATTAAAAATGTGCCAAGTTAAACAGGCCACTAATGACGTACGTTCAGATCATCCTGCAAGAAACTTTAAGATTGTTTTTCACGTCCAACGTTGATGGCGAAACAAGTGAGAAATATTATTTAATTACAGTCACTTCTACATGTTTCTCTAACATATTTTCTACAGAACTCTGACAGTCAACAATTCAGGATTCCACCACATGGAATCACAGAAATATTAATTTGAAAGACTGCATTTACACTTACTGGTAATGAGCAGACTGATTTACATTAGGTCATTTAAAGTTACTCTTGCAGTGAATACATTTTTTCTGGCTGGATGTAGAAACATGGCTGTTTATTAATTTGGAAACGTAACTTATATACTGTATATGTATATCAAAACAATAAGCTTGTGTTTCTTGTGTTGCGACATTTTTTATTTATAAAAAAATGTAGAAAATTTGTATTGTTATGTTCTGAACATTTATTTCTGCATATGTGTGGATTTTCTACACAAAATGCACACCTGCAACTTTCTGTGCAAATGCTTCAAAACAAAGATCTTGTGTGATCTGTTAGCGATCTGGAWATGTGATTTGGAAACCTTTCAGCTATTACCACATCAAATTGTGGCTCAATATCCAATAAAAAAGACTGAATTATCCACATTTGTTAAAGCTGTTAAATGAAGAGATAATTCTGTAAAACTAATTTATTATTGGTTTCATATTAGTCCTCAGTAAGGTTTTGAAGGTGTTCTAAGCCAGTAGTTTGGCTTCTTTCATTTTAATTTTTATTTAGTTTAATTTTTGTTTTTAATTATGTTGTTTCTCTGATGTATTGTTTTATTTTTAATGTGTTTTATTTTCTGTGTGTTGGGCCCCAGGAAGAATAATCTCTGCTGAGGTAGAGCCTAATGGGGACCCTAAATAAATAAAGAATAAATAAAGCTCATTAGCCGTGACAAACATCTTAAAATGGGGCAGTAATATTTAAAAAAAAAAACTAAACTCTTTCATTAAAAATCGCACAAGGAGTTAGCCAAGTAAATGCCTAGATTTACATTTTATTTACTAAATTTAGAGTAAAGTGAGAAATTAAATCAGACATTCACAAATTTACATTAAAACAGACTTCCAGACGTCTTAAAGCCGTAGTAAATCTRAGTCTTAGTGTGTAAAAAGACAAAAGAGGTGACGTGAAGCTCTGCAAGACATATCATCAGCCTGTTATTTGTGTAGAAATGGATGTTTCTGCAGTTCAAATGAATTTCACTATCGCTTTTGTCTAACTTTCAAATACACACGTGTGACACGCACACACACACACGAGCGGCGGCAGCCTGAACTCAACGAGCACGACTCAGGAAAGTGACATTTGAAACAATGCGCTTTTGTTCCTCCGCTCCATCCGCTGTCATGTTGCACTGATGCATGCAGAAGCACAGAAATACGTCTGCACACATGCACGTGTGTGTTTCTGAGCTGACTTTTTAACAATCACCGAAATGTCACTCAACACTCGCGCGGGAACATCGGCAATCAAAGAGCAACAGGTGACAAAGACGTCAGGCAAAAGGGCGATTACAGTCGCCGCCAGAACTGCCTGTCTGACATTTGTTGTCAGAAATAAGAGACCAGMGGCTCAGTTTGAAAACTGTCCCACGTACAGTATGATTGTCTTTAATTTTGCTCGGACAAATAACTGAATGAGAGTGGAGAAAAAATCATGAATATGTGCAACATATACATTCTGATTACTTAATAATGCGAGTAAGTTAGCATAAAAGCATAACAAGTAAACAAAAAGTGGTTAGAATCACACAAACTGCCCAACAGATCCAACATCTGATGTCAGTCTGCATGTGGTTGTGAGTCTGCTGCAGCAGCCATGCATCGATCGGATTATTTCAAAATGAGGATAAGATGCATGCAGCCATCATGCAGAGCAGATAAACAAAATTAATCTCCCCACCAATGAGGTGCTGGCTCTGACTCRTACCAAGGTCCATGCTTTTGGAGGCTTTAATGTGCTGGAACTGCTGTTGGTTCAGATTCTGGGCGGGAGACTGAGGCTGGGCCCCGTGAGACACGTGAGACTTTTCTCTGGAAAAGATCAATGACACAATAAGTAAATTTGACAAAATGACAAAAAAAGTGACTAAATCAAAAGAATTACATTATCTACCATTTAGCACAGCTTAAAAAAATAAATATTTAATTATAATTAATGAGTTCATGAGTAAAAGAGACCAAAACAACCTTTAAAAGATCTTCAGAGAGCTTGAAGAACTAAAGAGCACTAAAACACACAGACCGCTTCAAAACATTACAAGAAACTCTGGCTTCTTGAAAGCAAAGCATAAAGACATTA